GTTGGAAACCAAAATAAGGATAGCCTGGTCGCGTTCGTAGTCGTGCCTATGGGAATCTACCTAACTATCGGTTCGGTGTTCTTGCTGGCTGGATTTGTATCATTATTCCGTATCCGAAAGAAAATGCGAAGCGATGGCAACAATACAAACAAACTAGAAAAGCTCATGGTCCGAATTGGTGTGTTCTCCGTCCTCTATACCGTCCCTGCGACTGTTACGATTGGCTGTCACGTCTACGAAATGTCGAATCGCACGAAGTGGGAAAAATGGTTGACATGTTCCGAAACGCCTTGCATCGGAGCGGAGAAAATCGAACCCGAATTCTCGGTGTTTATGGTCAAATATTTCATGTCGTTAGTCGTCGGGATTAGTACGGGATTTTGGATTTGTTCAATGAAGACTATCGACTCGTGGCGCGATTTGATCAAACGGCACCTCGGATCGAAATTAAGACAGAAAAGTCCAGACGAACAAGCCGAGCAAACGGCGCTACCTTTGACCAAAAAAACTGATGTTTAAGACTTAATTTCAGTTTAGGGATTCTTCTAGACTTTGGGGAACAGCCCGAATAGTACAAGCGCGTCATTCTCCGAAAAACGTCCGCCAATGTCAGTCGAAAGTCGCAGCGCTTAATTCGAACAGTTTAAGTTAAAACGAAGGGGGCTGGAAACCTGTATTGGTACAGTTGAATTTTGATTTCCGGTTGTGACAAAAGGCGGGAAGATGTCTAAACAGTTCTTATAGTCTTTAGGAATTGTTTAACATTTTGAACTGCGGGGCCTTGCAAGGCTCTCCGAAGTCGAAAGCCGCCATTTTGGCTGCGTATGTACATAATTGAAAACAATGTATTTAACTGACGCCACGCATGATAAGTGGTAACACATAGACTCTTACTGATATATTGTAAAGATCTTTGTACTCTGCTCATGCTAGAAGCTGAGTATTTGCGTAGTTTCAATACGTAAACTTTAAGTTTATAGTGTAAATAAGACTTATTAATAGGTACAATTATTGTTTTTGGGCAAACTAGAAAATTTTTCTTTAAGCCAGATTTGTTGTAAGATGAAAGCTCGAACATTTGTTCAGATAATATCTTAGAGATTAAAAGATGCCTTGTTAAGTCATTATTCATAATATTTACAAAGAGACGCTATTTACGAATACTTTTCGATTAAATTGCTTTACATGTTAATAAAATTGGATAAACTTCGTTAATAAGTTAATAAATTAATAAGAAACCTCAACGTTGCCTTCAAACAAATCTGTGACTGTGCATAGCTTTCAAAGTGTGGAAAAAGCTCGAGTTATATTGTCTTTTTGTGTGATTAAATGTATACATTTTTGAATAAGTAATGAGATGTTAGCGTCGAATGCATGTAATTAAACGTGCAATATTGGCAAAAGCGGATATCAGGGATAAGTGCTTTTAACTTTTTGAAAGTTTCTTATGTTTGAAGTGAAGCAATATTACGAGGGGAGGAGTTTCTAAGAGCTGTAAATTAACAAGGGCGGCAGATGTTGCGGCCGAGAAATGATTTTGCAAGTGCCCTGCCATTTTCGTTCACTATACCAAAGCTATCATAAATATTTTGACCAAAATCCGTGACCTACCGATTACTTCACAAGGGGGCGAAACAAATATTTTTATACCACTGATATTTATCAAACCGCGAATAAAGGTTCCGGGTTGTAGCCGCCGAGATTCGAGACAGTCTATGAGTCTAAGACTAAACAATTTGCAAATATGGAAATTTGAAATATTACTTCGTTGCTTTCCGTCTTAACTCGTTTGGCTCAAATCATGAATTACAAGATGGAACTTTTTATCTGGAGTTTGTGTCGTTTTTGAAATCATATATAGATATCCTGTGCAGTTAGGCATGCCACTGATCTGAAATTAGGACTGGACTGATAGAGTATCTTTTTTATTAGTCAAAAGGCAGAATATTTATATCAATTATAATGAGAAAAGATTTTAAATCTGTCAACTGATTATCCACATATTGAAGTGTTATAGGTGTTTAAAATTAGCTATAATTATCAGCTATATGCTTGTATGCTTTGAAATATATAGCTTCCCGGCGTTCCCGAACCCTGCCTCTTGTTACGAATTTTGAACTTGTGCTTAGAGCTCGACAACTGGCTTCTGTAGCTCAGTTTGTTAGAGTGCTTCACTGGAATCGCATGCAGGGCCGCAGGTTGGATTCCTACCATAGGGCCCATTTTCGCAACAGCTCCTGGTTACGTCTATAATAAATGTATAAAATTCACACCCGAAATTTTGCAACTACAAAACCCTTCTTCTAAAATGTCAGCAATACCACGGTAGATTTTTGGTTGTTTTTTGTGTAATTCAGAACATTGCAACAATTGTGTGAGGGTGTATATCACTGTGTTCATCATATGACCAATATAATCGCATGTCACCAGAAGAACACTTTAAATATTGAACTCGAAAATGACAACACTCGAACAAACATCCTACTTGACCAAGTGGAGCATGTCCTGTTTACAAGGGCCTTCTGTCTATTCCATGTCAGTTCTAAAATGGTCTTCGTAGAGAATTCCAGTAATGACCGTCCCTTATTTAGCGAGTAGCTATTGAATCTATCGTTCTGATTGGTCGGATTTGAGCGTCTCTAACGTCATAGCTACTGGCTACAGAAAGTAAACTAATTATCTATAACTTTAGTTATACTGGATAGTCCTGTCTGTTCTAAAATGTTCCCCTAAACTAAAGACACAACCTTACTGATCCCAGTACATGGGGAGAATTAACTAAATAATTTATTCTGCATGAATATATAACTCTATATCACTAGTTATCAGTTCTAAATTATCTTCCTAAAATCGAGACATCCCTTTCTGTATATTGGTCCAGACTCCTGAGCAGGGATTATTCTAAGGCCATTTCATCACTGCACGAAGAACAATAAAGGACAACATCTGAAATTTTGACTAGAAACAACACTAGCATGTTAAACAGCAACGAAGCATATGTATCTTATCATTTGCTGAATGCAGTACTGATCTACTGCGATTATCAATGCCAATGGTGGGGCATAAAAAAAGAGACCGATAACTGTAGGTATAGTTAACTGGTCTCAGGGGTATGGGGGTCATTCCCCAGAAAATTTTCGTATCTTTTTGAGCCCTTGGAGCTTGATTTCCAGCGACTACACCTATTTCTAAATACTTAAGAAAAATTCATTACTGCGCTTTCTGCACAAAACCTCATTTATCACAGCAAAAGTTGGTTATCAATGCACCTTGAATAATCGCTGTTCCTGAGTTAATGTATATATGTTACTGCAATATGCGTTCTACCTCGACGTTCTACCTCGTTCTCGTTCGACGTTACCCGGTGATAAAAATTTTAAAACATTTTCTGAAGGTACTCTGTTTTCCTCCTGTAGTAATACCGGACCGATAAGGGTCTGGGGCCGGTTGTATAAAAAAGTGATTAAAGTTAACTACTGTATAACTAGTGGAAACGTCATCCAATAAGAAACGCGTATTTGAGAGTTAATCACAGTTTAACTACAAAATAGTGATTAAAAAAGTGATTAAGAGTTTTATACAACCGGCCTCTGATGGCTTACTGAGTGAACTACAGGGAAGAACTGCTTAAGGCCCGTTTACACAATTTTTGCTGCGATTTCCAATGCAATTTTCTTCTTTTGAGGGATGTGAACGAGTAAATAGGTTATGAGTGTATGTACTCTCGTTACTCTCATCTAAACATTCCAATGAACATTCCTGACTCATCCACTCGTTCACATACGTCAGGAGGAGAAAATCGCACTTAAAATCGCAGCAAACTATGAATTGCAAGTGTAAACGGGCCTTTAGACAGAACTGACACAGCAATCAAATATAAGCCCGGATCAGACGAGAGTGAGAGTGCATGAGAGTCGTGCAACCTTGGGTAGCTGTTCTTAATGCTTTCCCAACACTATCACGTATTCTGTTTAAAGGACATTGGCAATAAAAAAATAGTTTAGTTCATTTGAAAGAACTCTTAAAATTATATATTAAACTATATCACAGATTGTTTATATCTTGCTTAGTTTTCAAAATATTTCGACTGAAAAAAGTGAGCTGTTCGCCATCTTGGATTTTTGAGGATATGCATGTTACGTCAAGAGAGGGGTCACGCTAATTTTTTATCTTGAGAGTAAGCGATCAATATGGGTCCAAAACTTCGTTTCTGGTTGCTGTCAGAAAATTTAGAAATGATTAAAAACATTTCAAACAATTTTGGCATGTTATTCGATCATTTTAGAGTAGTTTTATATGGTTAACCCAACTCCTGAGGTCATCAAAACCATAGTTAATGAGGTAAAGAATTTTTCCAAGATGGCGGAAAGCTCATTAATTTCGGTCTAAATATTTCGAGAACTAAGCAAGATATGATAAATCGGTAATAGAGTTTAATATATAATTTTAAGAGTTCTTTTGAATGAGACAAACTAATTTTTTATTGCCAATGTCCTTTAAGTTAAATCATGGATTGTAAACTGGATAGGAAACTTCCTGACGTCACAGTCTAAACCTAGTTGCAATATGTGACGTCACGTGTATTGCCAAAGTTCTTGGCATTTTTGTTGTTTCGCTATATTTTCCGCTTTGAAAGAGTAATATTGAAGCATAAACTGGTCTAATTGTTTTAAAAACATGCCTAAGCCACGACAAAGTATTCAAGGTAAATGTTTTTCGTCTTTGTTTCGTATATATTTTTTTACATTTCTAGCTACGAAATTGGGCGTCGCCAATTTTAACGAAATTTGCGATGCATTTTTCACTGTTTAGTGCTTGAAATATTTGCTAAAATTGACCGAGAATACTTAGAGATTTCATCGTAGAATGGCGTAGTTATATTTATTTGCTCTTTGACTAAAATGTTTAGCTGTATTATTGCTAAAGATGCCGTTTTTGAGAATTTGGTTTGCAACTAGGTTTCAACGCCATCATCCCATTGAAAACTAGTTTCCTATCCATGTATTTTATTATCCATGGTTAAACCATAGTTGGAATATTCATCAAACCTTTATTTTGTTAATCTAGTGCTTGAAATCTCCCCTGTAACAATGCGTGACTGTCAACTCTCATAATACTCTCACAGGGTTCGTAGCGGTCTTTAAAATCCTTGAAAGTCTTTAAATTGGAATGCAGGTCTTTGAGGTCTTTGAAAAGTCTTTAAATTGTGTGAAAAAGCGAAGAAAGTCTTTAAAAGTCTTTAAATTCTTTAGTGAGGAATTGATTATACGATTTCCTAGCTAATAAAATAGATTGATTGAATCAAGATTTTCGCAAATATCGACGAAAATGCGCATTTTAGGATGTGATTTGACGGGACTAATTACTGGGTAAAAATGGTGCTTACACTCGCAATTTTTCGACAGCTGATTGCTCTCAAAGGTCTTTGAAAATAAGCAGAAAAAATCTTTGAAAGTCTTTGAATTTTTTTGGTCTTGGAGACTACGAACCCTGTCTCAGCCTCGTTTGAGCGGAACCTTGCTTTGGTTTGGTTTGAGACTTTGAGTACCCAGGCTAAGAAAACCTGGTAAAGTGTCCATTTTCGTCCCCAGAGTCGTTTCCACTCGGTTATTTAATTTGATCGTTGAAAAGGTTGACCAACGGGAAACATCAAGGGAGAAAATCCATTCCAAAAAGTGGGGGGACAAGCCCTCCCCCCTCCCGTGTACCCCCAGGATTTAAGGCATTGGGAGAGATCTGATTAACTTCTCTTAGAACCGCTAATTACAGGAAGTTAAGCAGTTTTTGCCAGGCAAAATTACTCATAAAAATAGATTTATTTAGTTTCTCACTCATTGGTGAGCGGATTTCCCAATTAGCCATTCCGAAGTTGGTGAGTGGACTGGGGACGAGTGTTAAAAAGTGCCTAAATTACCAAATCACTAAAAAGACCACCTCAAAATTAGTAAGTATACAAAGTTTGAAAACGTTTACATGAATACCCTTCGAATAATAAGCTTTCGAAAATTGTGAAATTACTGATTAAAAGATAGTTTTTGGAACGGACGTCCCAAAAACAAAAATTACAATACATTTCATAGCCAATATCATAATTTTCGAAAGCTTATTATTCGAAGGGTATTCATGTAAACGTCTTCAAACTTTGTACACTTACTAATTTTGAGGTGGTCTTTTTAGTTATTGGGTTCATTCTCGTACCCAGAGCCCTTCTTACGCGCGGTGCGACGAGTGGCTCTGGCCAAATCCATAACCGGATACCATAAAAACATGGTAAGAAAACAATGTCCGGTGTTAGAACTAGCCAATCAGATGCCAGTTCGGAATATGGATTTGGCCAGAGCCCCTCGTCGCACTGCGCGTAAGAAGGGCTCTGGGTACGAGAATGTTATTGGGTTCATATATTTCTTAATTTGGGCACTTTTTAACACTAGCTCGTCCCCAGTGCACTCATCAACTTCGGAATGGCTAATAGGCTATTGCCCAGGTGATAGGGGATCCGAGGTAGCTACGATTTTAACGTCCTTATCCGAGAAGACGCGAAAGTCTAACCATTTACTGATGTCAATGTCAAGGTAGCTCTTTCTCCTTAATTATTTAAGACCTTGAGTAGAGAGGTCCGACCAAGGATTGAACCCGGGTTCATTTCTTCATAATACTCCTATTTCTCGTTCCGGCGTTGAGATAGAGCTATCAATTCACGAGCATGCGCATTAGAAACTACTGCAAATTTTCTAGACGTTTTCTGCGAAACCCTGGAGACGGTCGCGCGCGGCCGAGAAACTCACGAGACTAGGATTCATGTGACTAAGGCGAAATCATTTCATCAGCTTGACCGCCTGAACGCTATGTTAAGACGAAATCTAGCGTTAATTCCTCTAAGTTTGCCCTTAAAAAATACTTCTTAGAATCTTATAAGGGCATCGATCGCTTTGAATTATTATTGTGATCAGCAAGTTGTACTGTATATAATTTGTATAAGTATAAATTTATAATCCTAAGATCTTTTATATATTTACTCTAAGTAGCTTTTAGACGTTTTAAAGTAGTAAAGTTTTTAAGTTTAAGTTTTTATAAAGTTTAATTGCTCTGAAGATGTTGTGAACAATACAACGAAACGTTAGCCAATAAATTTTATATTTTTGTTTATATCTTGTCTGAAAGTCATTTGCTGGGCTTTAATTTTCATTTTTAAATTAGTTTTAAAGTGGAATTAATAACTTCGTATGTATTGTATATGAGGGCCACAGGTTTTTCAGTTATCATGTTGATGTCATGTGTTTTTACCCTCTTTAAATAAAGTTGTTCATTCATTCATTATGTCACAAGTTACTAAATAGTTTTAACCCACTAACCTACCACATGAGTCTTTCAAAGCGGGTTTTTTTTCAAATCTCGTGATGTTGCCAAATTGATTCAGTAGGAAGACCGTTTAAGTGTTGTCATTTTCAAGCACAATATTTAAAGAGTCTTTCATCTTGTCGCCATGTGATTATGCGGTCATATGATAAACACAGCAAAACAGCCCCACGCAAACTGCCGCAATGTTCAGATTCACTTAGAACTTACAGAAGGTCGACTACTTGGTTTTACCAATGATTTTGTCGTTAAGGTCCACACAGACCGAACGCGATTCGGCAACGCGACGCGAATTTTCAGTTTTTAAAAACAAATAAAACCGTGAACTGATAAACATTTTACAATATATGCAGACCAAATAGTTAAAATTGCTTAAGTGGTTCCGAATATTTGAAAAACATAGAAAAATAGTAAAGTTAAATGTCATTGAAAATTGAAAATTCGCGTCGCGCCACCGTATGGACCTTACCCGTTGCAATGCGGTCCCCATGCTCCTAACCAGTGCGTTTACGAGAGGCATTCCCCCCCCTGAAAACATTCACCATGGGCTGACGTTCAGGGGGGTGAATGCCTTTCGTAAGCGCACAGACTAGGAACATGGCGAGTGCATTTTGATGACGAATCATTGCGAATGATGGCGTGGATGAGTCGGCCTTCTGTAATGATGATCATAAAAACACTAGAGAGGAAACTCGTGATCACGCATGATGTTTTCAGCGTGCTGATGGCGTCTCAATCTTGTTGAAAATTATGACATCACTAAACCAAAAATAATTCCACATTTAGCAAGAACACAGCTGAACCAGTTTAGTCAAAAAGCGTAAGAATACAACCATGCCCACTCTACGATGGAGTGTCTAAACATTCGTGATGATTTTCGGGGAACATACCGAGCAACAGACAGTAGGATACGCGTCACAAATTTCAAGAGTATATCAACAATGGTTTTTGCGACGCCAATTTCTTAATAACTTTCGAAAGTAAAAAATAAAAACTAAAACAAAGACGAAGAACATTAACTTCCAATAACTTTGCCGTGGCATAGGCAGTTTTAAAAGACATTAAAACCATGTTGAATCTCAGTATAGGGAAATGGAACAAAAAAGCAGTAAAATTTTACTGTATTTGTTGTATTCGTGACATGACGAAATTTCAAATCGGTCACGTCATCCATTTTTTTTAACTATCATGATATAACTCTCCATTTTCAGTCAAGTGATCTCCGCCCCTTGTTTCTCCCAAATTCAATGCATAACTACATTCCGTTCGGCCACAAACGGGTTAATTTTCAGCGTGGGTAGAGTCGGGTCTTGTAATACAACTGCTCAGTGATCTACAGTGGCTAAGGGGGACTATAGCCCCCCCCCCCAAAAAAAAAATGGATAAGAATCCAAATTTTGAATTTTATATATAAAATTTGGGAAAATTTAGAGAAAAAATTTTGGACAGATGAAAGAAAACCAGCATGACTTTTGTATTAAAAATGTCAAGTAGGAAATATGTTAGATCCCGAAAAATGTTTGCCACTCCCCCCAAACCGAGGCGCCCCAAAATAAAAACTGTTCCGTCGCCACTGGTGATCCATAAATGTCATAAATTACATCTCGTTACCAGAGAATTGAGTTCAAGGGGTCTTTGAAGGATCCATATAATATTTGACAATTACACTTTTAGTCAAAAGTTTGAAATTAAGTAACAAGTTTACACTCTCATGAACGTCATGAATGAATACATATCCACATATAATATTGTTGTTTACTACATATCAATATCGGCTCATCCCCCACCCTACCCCACCCAATTTAATGCATGTACCTAATTTTCCTATTTTTTATTTTCCTACTTTTTATTTTAGGTAAATGTGAAGAGTTAATATAAGGAAAAGCCAAGGGTGATGACCTTCAAGCCTAATGTATTTTGAGTTAACTTATTGAAACTGCAAGCATAGCGTAGAACGATTGAAAAAATCAATGATAAATAAATGTAGGATGTGTATGTATATAGGGAATCCAAACTAGAGGTATTGTACTCTGTTTATCATGTAAATATGTATAGATACGTTCATGGCCGTAGCGACCGGGGTTGTAGGGGAGGGGGGGGGTGTAAACCCCCACCCCCAATATTTGTTCATGAGTAATTTAAGGTAAATTTATTTAGAGGTGATTTAAGCTGATTTTCAAGCAAATTATAAGAGCGTTGACAGGCTAACGTGGAAGTTGAAAGTGAAAGCTAAGAATACCAAATTTTTGTTGCATTTCCGGGGTAAGATTAAGCGTCTAAAATCTAAATATCCAAAATTTCCTCAAGGCAGCATTCCCGCAAACCTCTCTAGTAGATTTAGCCCCACATCCCATTGTGCCAATATATTATTTCGAGAGAAAACCCCCATGGGCGTACTCATCAAGAAGGTAACATCCTTTTAGGTAACATAAAACTTAGGAAATCCGGTAATTTGAACCTTTACACTCCCAATAAGCAACGACAAAGTATTTGCTACATTCCTGGATATGTTTATCAAATGGCTGGATTTATTTACATTGCTATTAGATGCCCTTTTGTTTTTAAAAGTTAACTAATAGCGTAGTAAGTTAGCATCACCCACAACTGTGATAAATTGATTCTATCCAGTCTTAGTTTGCAGGCCAGTGGGGTTGCACGATATTTCGCAGAGCACGTCAAGAGATTGGGAACTAGTAATAAGCAGTGAACTATAAACTACACAAGATAGATTTGGAGTCTAAGCATATCCATTACGATCCCCTGTTAAATGGAGGACATTAATTTGAATTTTCCCTATGCACCAAAATAATGATTTTATAGGACACAATAAAATAAGAGTTTAAAATATGATAAACTGCTCAAACTTATAAAGATAGAAATAATTTTGATTTTTTTGTGTGTGTTGGTGCAATGTACTCAGGTGAATTTGATGTTTGCGATGTTACTCTGAGTGTGTATCCACACCGGGCAAGCTTGAAAAATATGCCTGGCCACGGTGGGAATCGAACCTACGACCTTAGGAATACTAGCCCAGTGCTCTACCAACTGAGCTACGAAATAATTTTGCATGCCACATTTGTGTAACGTGATTATGTGATTTGCACAAACACGTTCACCATCTAGATACGTCTTTCCCCACTCCAAGGACGTCTAGAGAGAACGATTATATTCATAAAGGTAACATTTGGGTTAGGGTTGGCTTGTATAAACGTTTCCCAAAATAACTTATTAACGAGTGTACAGAAATTTCGTATTCTGATCTCGATTTAAGGAGGCTCCTTACAGTTTCCAATATATGTCAGTATTTTAAAGATACTGAATTTCAGCCTTTCCAAATGCTAAAATGCAATCTTAAAGGCTGAAATTCAGTATCTCAGTTTTCTGCAATAAAAAAAAGTAGGTCACCGTGGTTATTTGTCCGCTATGGCGGCTTTTTTGGTTGATATAGGCCATATAGATGGTGACGTCATGGTAACATGAAGAGTAGCGAATTAAAAATTACTTTTTTATATAAGATGAAACAATGGCTTGTGCAAAAACTTAAGTTTTTTTAGCACTGATATATATTGGAAACTGAATGGAGCCTCCTTAAAGAGTAATAATATGGTTTCATGAACTGATAACTTGATTAATGATACGGTCCGTTAGAAAAAAAACTGGTATTAGCTGGGGGGAAATGGTATTAAACGACCTTATGCATAATGACGTCACAAGGCTTGATGCCCGCGAGGAATGCTGGTCTTAGTAGTCATCGCCCGGGAAAATTTCGATAGTGGCCATTTTGAGTTGTTTAATTTTCCCGGGCGATGACCAGCATTCCTCACGGGCATCAAGCCTTGTGACGTCATTATGCATAAGTCTATTGTCATTATCAATCACTTTCTAATTAAACATTTTATTAATTTGCCCCACAATGGACAACTTGCATGTCAGACTAAATTTTAATCTAAGTAAAAAGAAGGGAATCAAACACTACAATAAAAAGAACATAATGAAATTTATAGTGAAATTGCAAAATTTGGTTGCGAAATGTTGTAAAACGGAAAATATAGCCTTGCGAAGTTCGCATATTTTCAGTATGTTTGTATTACGTGCGGAAATTGTTACCATTTTCGGCTCAAAAATGGTGACAATTTCCGCACGTAATACAAACATACTGAAAATATGCAAACTTCGCAAGGCTATATTTTCTGTATTTTACAACATTTCGTAACTAAATTTTGCAATTTTACTAATTTTAATAAGTTCTTTACGGGATTTACTTTTTTTGCCTAGATCAAAAATTAGTCTATCGTGCAAGTTGTCTGTTACGGCAGGGACACAACTGCAGCAGAAGCCACTGATAACTCAACAACTATATTCATCACAGGTTTAATTTCACCCATGATTCATTACATTCAAATAATTTGTTACAAAACATCTGTTATCGTTCAAGACACACATCTGACCTTTCACAAATCATTTGTTTTTGCGGCATCGCCTGATCCGTACAAGCGAGACGACTCGATCCAGATGGAAAAATCATTTTTGTTTTGCAATTTGTTGGCGAAAATCTATTTAAGATTGCAGAAGATTTATAATAGTTTAGCTGCTAAACGGAAAACATGTAAATTTCGATCAGGAATTATCAAGAATCATTTATCGTTTGTGGACGGTGGACCGTTTCTGGAATTTCTGTCGCTTTATCTGCGTGTATGTTTGTCTGTATGTGTGTGTCTGTCTGTCTGTGATGTGATGTTACTCTGAGTGCATATCCACACCGGGCAAACTTGAAAAATATGCCTGGCCACGGTACGTGGGAATCGAACCTACGACCTTTGGAATATCAGCCCAATGCTCCGCCAACTGAGCTACGTGGTCAGGTCGGTTCGAGTATGTGATATTTTCTAGTAATCATGATTTTTCTGTGTTGGTGTAGTGTACCCAGGTGAATCTGTCTGTCACTACAATAACTCAAAAAATATCCAACGTATTAATACTTAAATTTGGGGGCTAATAGAAATGGTCCAAGTGTGACAATTCGATTGAATTTTGGTTCAATTTGGATGAAACTTGGACGAGAAATTAGCAAAAGAATTTGTCTTCCCAGGCAGAGTAAATTGAATATTTAATTTATAGCCCATTGTATAATTTATGCAAGACGTGACACAATTTGGTCACACTAACGCCCGTATTCTAAAAGCTCACTCACACTCAATGAGTGCAGGTTCAATCTGAGCTGCTCTTGAGTGTCAATGCTGTTTCAAAATAGCTGGAGGGTGAGTAAGGTGAGAAAATAGTCAGTAACCTTCCAGCTTTTCAAGAACAGCAATGACATTCGAGAGCAGCTCAGATTGAACCTCCACTCACTGAGTGTGAGTGAGCTTTTAGAATACGGGCGTAAGACCCCGTTTACACGATACCGGACGAATTTGGCACCGGTCTGAAATTCGTCCTTTTTCGCCTGTTTACACGCGAATTCGTCCTGTTAGGGGGTCTCAAATTCGTCCAGTTCTGTGGTTCTCGTGTGTTTGCACGGCCGAACTTTAGTCCGGTTCCAAATTCGTCCGGTATCGTGAGTAAAGGGGTCTAATTGACCGTAAACAATCTCTAAACTATAGGACTAAACAAAACACCCGTTTGGATGGATAATTCCAGCTATACTCTATAGACGAAATTTTGATCTGGACAAGAAGAACGAACTCCATTACCATACTTCATAGCAAGAAAGAACATCTTAAAATGAGTAAAATTGCAAAGTTTGGTTGCGAATTGTTGTCAGATGAGGAAAATATATAACCACAAACCAAATGTCGTTTGTTATGTGACTTGAAAGATATAGCCTCGCCATTCTTTTCCTAATGACTGTTACAACGTTTTGAACACTAAATATTCATGAGACCCGTAGTAACCATATTGCTTTGATCTCATCAGTCATTCACTCGTAGAAAATTAGTCACTGCTGGCCCGCTATCAAGGCAACATTTCTTCTTTCCTACCAATAACTAGAAAACGTTGAAACCTCTTAACATGTCAATGCCCACCATTGACTTCGTTTATGCATAGCGGATGAAGAGTACAGTAGTACAATTTTTGAGATCAATGACATAACCACAAACCTGTTGGTTTCTTGTGGATGAAATATATATGGCAACCTCGTTCCCAAGTTTCTGCCAAAGAAGAGTAAATATATATATAAGATGAGGGATAAAGATTTGGATTATGAAGAGAAACATGATTGATATTTCAGAATTTAGATAAGGACTGGGTCCTGAATGAGATATGAACGGACTAGGCTTCAGCTAGATTTTAATAATGATCATGTTTTAAATTACGATCCTAATGATAATGATCAGGATCATTAATGATAATGATCATTATTTTGATGATCAGTTTTTAGATCACGATCCTAATTTGGATTACGGATGAGGCCTTCATGATTACTAACTTCGTTCCGAGTCTTTTTTCCGTGGTCTTGGTAAGTATATAAGCCAAATTGTGTGAGATGGTTGAAAACGCCGTACGTACATATATCAAGAGCGATGCAAAGCTCTTTTATACGTAGTGTTAACCTTGGATTAGATTTAGATTGGATTAGGATTGGAGTTACAGTATGAGATTAGGTCAAGCCGAGACTAGGTTCAAATCAGGATGAAAATAAAGATTCAAATAGATGTTTGAAAGAGAGATACAGTAGCCGAAGTAAGCCTAGGTTTGGATTAAGTAAGGTATTGGGCAAGAAGGATTTTGATTAGTAAGACTGATTCATATTAAGATTAGATTTTTGGTTGTCATGGACTATGTCATGGACCTCGAAAACTGTAACTTCTCATAAACTTTAAGCCTTAATTATTCGTTTCGTTTTTGTTACTGAAATTGAATAGAATTTTATAACCAGAATAAGAACAACTTCAAGTTAAGATGCAAATAAAAGGCTATTTAAATCCTTCTGCATTATGAAAGTTGTCTATTCACAGGAACGAGGCCGAGAAGACTTAATCCCCAGAAAAAAAACCCATTCCACTCTTGGGATCATCTTGGATAGTAATAACCAGGGATGGATCCAGCATGACTGGGGGGGGGGGGGTGCTCTGCCAGCTCTGGTGCCGAGTTGTGTCGGTCATGTGTGCCGCCCGCCCATCAACTTGCTTCGCTACTGCAAAGTCTTGCTTGACTACAGTATTTGAATTGTAATTGTTGTTCACAGTTCGCTTATCATCATGTTATTACTCAAATTACTGTATCTCATTTTGTTTCTAATAATTTTTTGCTTTATCATGAAAAATAGCACCCCCTGCACCCCCTCTGGCCAGGGCTAGGGGGGGTCCACACCTCCCGCACCCCCCAGTAAATCCATCCCTGGTAATAACACGCAGTTTCACTTCAAATCCTCCAATTCGAACTGGACTAGATTTCAGGCCCTCGCATTCAGTGATCAAATTGCATAAAATCTAGTCCAGTCTTAACAGTCGGTTTTGAAACATTACTTAATTAAGCTAGATGCACATAAAAGCATATTTAAATCCGCCTCAATTATGAATGTTTTTTTTTTTACCTTGATGATAGGCAAGTCCTGTGCCCTCTCTTCCGACTTCGCTATAAAGCATAAATCAAGACCGCGATCTTTTTGAAAAGCATCTTTTAAAACTTATGATGCCTATCACATATCTACTGTGCTGACTGATATTGCCTTTAGACAATTTTAAGCTGCACTTTTTTTCAGAGGTCGCAATTCGTTTGATAAAATCTTTATAAGGGCGGCACAAGATTGACTAAATTCATAAAATACTTGGCGTCTTTCGCCCCATATCTTATTAAAATCAAACAATAATTTAATCAAGCAAAGGGGCCAACGCTGATAGTCTGTCAACACGATGGGAAATGAGATGAAACAACACAGCCGCTCCTACGCGGTGTGCACAGTTTGTTCAGAGACCAAAGGTGACCGGAGCTAGATATTTTGTGTACTTTTTAGGCAAGGCGTGTATTTATGCTCACGCTTGCATCGGAAGGGGTAATTATTGGAGTATTTAGATATATCCGTTCAAATAAGTGGGATGAGCATTAGTGGAATTGTATACATGCATGATGATATGAAGATCCTGATAGATAATATCTGATAGTGGAGCAAGATAATATCTGATAGTGGAGCAAAATAAAAGCTTTTCGCTTTTTTCTCTGCCAAATAGAATTTTTACCATAGGTGTACGAGACCAGGGGTTGCCCAAATTTTGTATATATTTGCATTACACGCAGGAAAAATAACCATTTTTGAGCCGAAAGTGTTATTTTTACCGCGCGTAATACAAATATATCACAAAATTTGCGAACTTTACAGGGCTATATTTTCTTCATTTTACAATATGTAGCAAGCTTTGCAGTTTTACTCATTTTAAGACGCTCTTTCTAGCTCTGGTGTTGAATTTCGTTCTTCTGGTCTAGATCAAAATTTAGTCTATAGCGACCTATAGCTGGAATTACCCATTTGCTAGACCAGCTCGCCTCGGTACAAAATATTTTGTCATGATATTAATGAATGTTTAGTCAAATAGATTGAATGACAGACGGAAATTTGTTTCATTAAATTCAGATTGCATGCAGTGGAGTGAAGAGTTTCTGATGTTTCTTGGAGATTGAATTCCCAGAAATACTCGTAAACATTCTACTTTATTTCCGAGCGTCTGTATAGGACTGGGGATGAGTCCCTTCTATTTACCTTCTTTTCAGTCTATCAATAAACCCATGATAATGTCGGGCAATTTCCGACACCTTAATTTTTCCCGCTTAGTATACAGGCTGTATAAACTCCAATGATTTTGACCAGCAATTTTATTGCTGGTAATTGATTCACAATTAATTTTGGCTGAAATAATGAGGTGGACAACCCCGTTCCAGCTGTAGCGTTCTCATATTTAATATGATCAAATTTAAAACATATATTCAACTATATTCATGCATGCTCTCCTCTCTTATTCATATGCTTGTCCATATAACCATATTAACATATATACATGGTAATGTTCATGTGAATAACTATGTTCTGTGAGGATATACTGTATATAACACGGTCACTATGTACAGGCTATACAGGCCTCCGATGATATAGTTTCCTGAAAAACAATACCAACCGACAGTCTTAAAAAAATCTAAGATAATTTAAAATCTTGAACATATAGTCTTGTTTTAATCCCTGTCTCACATTTCTCAAGATAAGACATTCTACTATTATCGCCTTATCGGCCTTTGTTTCATCTCGTCGCCGACCGAGTTCTCTGTAACCAATAACAAGAGTCCAGAAAAAAACCCCAGTCCACTCTTGGGATCAGTTCGATAGTAATAACACGCAGTTTCTTCGCTAAATTCCCGATAATCATGACGTCATTCCTGAGGGACTTTTCTTTGTAGCCCCCAGTTATTTTTATAGCGCGACGAATCTGACATTCTGACCCAAAACTTTCAAGCCAGATACAGTCAGTATAATACCACCATACATGGTTTTGACGAACACCATAGTGGCAAGCTATCCCAAAAGTGGATTAATTAAACCTTGAATAAATATTTATCACACCATCTTAGAAACAATGGGATTTACATTCCTTTTCGTAACATTTTGCATGTAACAAGCACAATAATGCCAGTCACAAACTAGTGATCGGAATGTTCCGTTGTTTTTCATTTTTTGAAAAATCATGTTATCCATTCTCCGGGTTGGACCGTATCGGAAAAGGCTTTGTCATTAGTTAATTATGGCAATAAACCGACTGAAAAATAATAGATAGATTCGAAAAATAGTTGTGAATATTTTTTTCCGAAATCAATTTCAACCAAGGCTAACAGTTTCACAAAGTAGGTCTATATACATACCATATTTTAGAACTACAGCCTATGCTATACCTTAGGTCAAAACTCAAAATTAGTTTTTAGATATTTTAGATAAAGAACTTCATACTTGTAATTAGATCCTAAAAGCCCAATTGGGAGTATCTAATATTGTATAATAATAATAATAACCATGTAATCTCTTTGAAACATTAAATCTTAAAGATACCGAAGTTTGTGCGAGATTTATGAGACAAGCATCAGCTTGTTCGGTGTGGATGCACGCTCAGAGTAACATCACAAACATCAATCACAAAATGTTTTCATACTATGAAGGTACTTATTGTCACTTTATAATCTAGATAAACAGAACAATCCATGCAGCTATATGCACCAAAAGAGGATTTAAAGAATTTCTATACCTTGGTCATAAGATCAACACTTGGTGCTCAAATCTGGCACGACTGACGAACGAACAGTGGTCTTACACACAAAAAAAACGTCATCTTCAGTTAAGTCAATACAGTCACCGTGTGCCACGAAAACTTGGCAAGCTTTCAAGCCTATCCCAAAAGGGGATTAATTTTTTTTACATTGCAATTACGTCGTGGTTGAAAAAAATTTCATCCACTTTAAAAGAAAGGTTTATGTTAGAGATTTAGGGAAGGTTATTATATTTATGGCGGGGGGTGGCACCGAAGAGAAAGGGTTGGGTAAACAAAATTTTGAGTGTGTATAAAAAGGTTGGGTAAATGAAAAGCAAAACAACTCAAGGGTTGGATAATTAAAATTTATTGTTATTTCCAAAGCAGGTCGCACTCAAATATTGAAGACTAAAAAGCAATGTCAACAGTCATATGTCAATACAATATGTGAATCAATCAGAGTCACTATCTTGATCATTTTACGATTTGTGAGGAGGCAATTAAATGCCGTGTCTCCAAAGAAAGAACATGTGAGACTTTAGTCTGCAGAAGATTGCACGAACAGTTATAAAACTCATCATGTCACACTGAAGTGGTAAAGGACATGTGTGACAACTGAATGGTATTCCTTTTGTAAAGTTTTTGGGCAGGGGTGGGTATTTATTTCTAATGGTTGGATCAGCAACATTTTTACCAAGAAAAACATTTCTCTTCGGTGACCCCCCCCCCCCCTTCATTGTACCGGTGATGGCATGGTGACCAACGCCAAATGTAGTATATTGACACTTGTGGGAGCGAGCCTCAGCGAGTAAATGATGTTTCTTAATGTTTATATATGTATTTATCTCATACCAAATGCAATAAATATTGTGAACAATTCGTAAAATTGTTGAAGCCGGATTGTGTAGATGGAAATTTCTAATTTTTATACAATTATTGGACCTAACCGCGGGAGCAGTTGTGAAAAATGCAACTCTAGGCCCTCTCACAGGAATCGAACCTACTATACCTAAGTCTGGTAATTAATAAATGTATAAAAATGACACTCGAAATCTACAAATCCCTTCAACAATGAGTTCTACTGATATGGCACGAGATGCCCCAAATCCTGATATTTAACAAATGAATTTAGTGACTTTGAGAACTCTCTTTTAGACTTTCACTAAGGAAGAGATTATTTCGCTGGCCTCAGAGTGACAAAACGTAACAAAGCAACGGTTTTACTAACACTAACCCTACTCCAAACACCAACTCTAACCCTAACCCGAATCTTTACCCTAACCTAACCCTACTCCAAATTTGTTTCTAAACCAGTCCTGAAAGTTTTGACGAAATGTCATTCTGAGGTCAACGAAATAGTTGATTCCTTCATTTAATTCTCCTTTAGAATAAGAGTTGGCTGCCATATCAGCTTCATTGTCACATTTCGTGAAGCCCTTCTTTCTTTTGGAGACCATCTGTTCATATGAAGTACAAGTTTTGCGAAGCCCTTCTTTCTTTTGGAGACCATCTGTTCATATGAAGTACAAGTTTTAAAACTGTGTTTTCTTTGTAAAATTATCAATAATTCGTGAAGAAAATTCAAAACAAATCAATGTTTAATGAGGTATCGCATCCACCACATATACAAAATTCAGCTTTTTCCTCGATTTTCTCAGTTAAATTCACTTCTTCAAAGAATAATTTCTTAAAACAGCTGTCAGTTGAAGAAGTCCTTACGTTTACAAGAAATCGCGTCCGTGCTTGTTATCAGACATAAAACCCCTCGCCTTTGGCTCGGTACACTGATACAACACGCAGTGATGTCCAAAACACGCTGACGAAACGTCAAAGGGAATATATTTGACACGAGTTTTCATATGTGGTTTACCGCCAACAAACGTACGATTCAACGATATATAGCAAAATATATTGCAATGGAGAAAGTAAGAGAACGGAATTCTCCATCTGTGCCGTGACTGGAGACGATCTTTTAAATCTAATGGATATTACAGACATACATAATCACTACATGACAAAGAATTTTACTTCACAACAGGGAATGTTATAAGGATGGGTTAACGTATATCGACTCACGACCTCATCAGCATTACTCATCAGCTGTGGACTTGCTTTAAATCTGCACCTCAAAAGCCTGTGCGAAAATGTGGGCGGAAGAAATTTCTTTCTCCTCGCCTTAAAATTCCTAGGATTATATTTCCGTGCAAACTGGCATGGAGCAAGTGGCTACATTTAATAGCCGCAGTTATATGTTGTGACAGAATGAACGATATCTTTATTATTATATCTTCTGATCTCCTCATAAACTCAAAACTGAACAGACATCCAAAGGTCATTTTCATTTTGAAGATGAAATTGTCCCGTTGTAGAATACGCAAGGTGCATTGGCCATGGGATTTCTCACAAGCACATTGATTTGTGAATGTTCAAAAAATGGAGGAATATTTCGGGAATTTAAATACGTAACTTTTGCTTTTAGCATCCCCAGTGACGTGATGAAAGAGATTTAGATGTTTAAAATAAACAAGCATTTCGTATTTTACAAATGCGATTAAAATACTGAAGCGAGCGGTCTTTGTGTTTTCATGTCGCTTTTCACTGCACGGAACACAAACTAAGGCAATTTTCTCAGCGTGTTCAACACAAAGCTACGCATATTTCTTTTCAACGAAACCATTAACTAATTACGAACAGACAAAGCGTAAAGGATACGAAGCCTAATGATCTCAACCCCTCTGGCTTTGGCAAACGGTTATAATTAGGGACAAGGCATTTGGAAACCGCACGTCTGAAGAAATTATAAACAGACAAAGCGCATGCCAAGTTGGCAAGAGCCGCGCATCAAAGAGGATTTATAACATTTCAAGTCTCCTTGGTTTGTGTCTGAAGTACCTGAAAAGATTAACAACACTTTGTTGCTTCGACATTTGTCTGGGTGTTAGTGGCTAAATAAGCCCATTGTCATGAAGTTAGCACCTTAAATAGCCATCCACTGGTTAGCTCCTAACGAAGGGCTTTGCTTCAGCTAGTCCAGACACAAACCACGACAGGGTACTGTACAATATTATCTACACTGGACCACCATGTTTAAGATATCTTTTTCAGGCAGTTCAGACACAAACCATGGCAGCTTATTGTAGAATACTACCTACACTGAACCACCACGTTTCAGATATCTTTTTCAGGTAGTTCAGACACAAAGCACGGCAGCTTAGTTGTTTCGGAGTTACCAATATTTTGTACTTTATTATTAAAATACTCAGACAGTGGTCACCGAAAATACTATCTACAATGAACGCCAACGTTCGTGAGAAAGCTAGGTTTGTCACGTGAAAAAAATCCAGCTGAAATGAAGGCATAAAATGGGTCAAATTTTTGCCTAAAATCTCCTAGTATCAAGTTCTAAAAAAATATAAAGTGGAAATTTACAGGATCGCCACATAAGTAAGTGTGAAAGTGTATTTTCGCTAAGTGCGCAATTTATACACTCAAAGGGGTTAGATCATAGATATCTTATATACACTAGATAGCGCATTTCTTTTAGTAAAATTGAAGCCAATAATATTCCAGCGGTTACCCCCATTTGAATAGATGGCGGCCATGTTGGTCGTTCCCACTTGCTAATAAACGCTTAAAAACAACAATAACTTTAATCTTTTGAATAGTTTAAAAGCGTATTTGGAATAGGGTTAACTTAATGTTTAAGTTCCCTGTTTAAGAAATAGAAAACATACGAATCTTCTCATTTCATGGGAACGACCTGAGACTGCAATCACGGCTTCAATTTTTGAATTGCAGAATAATTTGATGCACTATCTAGTGTATATAAGATATCTATGGGTTTTATACAACGATCGAAGTTTCTTTTGGACCAATGTGTGTATTATAAACAGTGTAAATTCTCCTAGGAATGTCATTGCGTCAAAATGACGTCAGTGTGACCACTTCTGCACTGTAAACCAGTCTAATGAAAGGGCCTTTGGTTTATTCCTAAACCCTCTCTTGGTATATGTAGGTTTATAGAAGACCAACGTGAATTTGCACTAATATTGTATTCCTGTCGCTTCACATAGATTCTATTACACCTAACCTTTTTGACACCGGGAATTTTACATTAAAATGTGTACACTACAAGTGTGAAAAGAGTTTCGTGAAATATCTATGGCGCTATCACGCAATTCGTATTTCGGTGATTTTCAAAACGTCCCAGGTTTGTTTTCCTTTGCGCGCATGTGTCATTTATGGCACTTTTGCGTCGCGCAAAACAAATAATTATAAGACAACACACGCACTATATGCCAAGAGAGGATCAATTAATGCAAGAGTTAAATTGAGTTGTGTCGAAAGACGCGAAACATTTCTCTTTGTCGCGCTTTGATATGGATTTTAGTCTCGCCTTTAAAATAACCATCTATCTTGATTTTCACATATCAGCACTTGAGTGATAGGGAATATAATATTCTGTTTTATTTTTGCGGCGGTCGCGGCGGTTGGATACTAAATTAAAACGGCGCTGCAAGTAACTTCAAACGTAATATGATCTTCGGGCTATAAAGTGCATCAGCGCGTCCTTTCATGGGAAAATTGGTGGTTTAGTAGGGCCGAACGGTGGAAAAGGTTTAGCAGAGATTACAGTAGATTATTTCAGATAAAAAGGTTATCACAATTAAAGGGGTGCAATTTTCAATCTTGCTGCGTGCACGCGGGATGCTGTGCGTGACACTGGACTCAAACGCCACAGGATATCTAAAATTCAAACAAAACAAGCACTAGAAGTAAGGATCAACACACTTTGATAAATGATATATATTATAAACACTCTATACTACCTTCTATACACTGTCTGCACGTTTTTATGCGTTCTGCATTGAGTTCTATAATACTATTAAAACACTAAAATCAATTTCGCTGTGAAAAGCACTAAACCTTGATGGCTTAGATTAAATCTTAAGAATTTCCTCATCAAATTTTAAGCTCTTTTTTAATATAAATGCGTTTGTAGGAAAGGCGGAATGCTTGTTCCGGTCGTCCCATTGTTAAGGTAAAAACATCTATTCTTTACAGTGTTTTTCCGAGTCTCATTTGTATGACTGTAATATCCGTCGATTGCAATTAGTTCAACATTAGTTCATGTGTTAGTCAAGCAACGCGAAGCTTGTATTTACACAAGCAGACAATAACCTCATCGCATGTGCCTTTGTTCAATGCCCCATGCTTTGAAAAGCTACTTTAAACGCCATCATGTAGCATTCGCACGGCACGACGCGTATAATTCGCAATTCCTAAACCACTTTCGTAGGGAATAAAGTCTAATCTCGACTCGGTAATAATTTTTCAACGCGTCTGGGCGATTTGACCTCTGCTTTTAAAACGACTTATTCCGTCTGTTTTAAAATACGTCTTAAAATCGTTCGAGGCTTGTTTCCCCGTATATTCGCCCGTCTATAAAACGTAAGCTTATGTGCTAATCTCGTTCTTCGCCGGTTTGAGGCGCGTATAAAGTCGTCGCCAAGAGCCCAGCGTTTTCGTTGACCAAACCCAGAATCCCGACGTCACTCCAACAATAAGAAACATAAGGTATTTTACTAAAAATACAGCAAAGTCAGGCCGTTGCTCGCCAACTGGAGTTGGACACGAACTGCCGATGCAATGACTTCGTACAAGCAAATCCGCATCAAGCCACGACTGTCGCCATTTCTGTCTGTTGCCTTGCTCGTACGATAAGCATCCGATGACCGTTATAGCAGGCACCATGTACAGTATAGAAAACACGCCGATTCGTATCATTAATTTCTCGATCTTTTCCCGTTTGTCGCCGTCATTTTTGAGCACCGAACGCACACGGAACAAGGATATGAAACCCGAAAGTAGGAAAAACGTGCCGATAAAAAAGTAAACAATGAGAGGGCCCAACACGAAGCCACGTAATGCAGCTTCGCTTGACAAGCCAACGAAGCAGACGCCGGTCAGTTCGTCTCCGTCGACTTCGGTCAGGACTAGAACTGCAATTGTTTTCACGGCCGGAATTACCCAGGCAACAAGGTGAAAGAACTGTGAATTATTTTCAATCGCTTCGTGTCCCCATTTCATACCGGCTGCTAAGAACCACGTTAAAGTCAACACGACCCACCAGATGCTAGCAGCCATGTAGAAAAAATATATCATCATAAATACAACAGTACATCCTTCGTTTTTCGTTCCTTGTGTCAGCGTCTTGTTTGTGCGCTCTGAAACAGGGTCGTTACATGCGATTCGGTCTTTCGCTACGAATCCGGAGAAGAATGCGATTGCGACAACGAAATAGCATCCGGACAGAAAGATTATAGGCCGTTCGGGGTAGCGAAATCGTCGCATATCAATGAAAAATGTCAGCAGTGTGAATATGGTCGACGCTGCGCATATCGTACTCCAAAACCCTGTCCAAATTCGCGAGATTTTTCGCTCGTCGTCTGTGAAGTATATATTATTACACGGGGCACCGCATAAATTTTTCCCCATAAACTTGTGAAGATCGTTCGGTGCCTTTAGCACATCGGGGCATTCATATTCGGTCATTACGCGAGCTTTCGTTGGTGCAAAAGTCCCGTGCGGTATGTTGACAATTTTTGTTGTACCGCCGGCCTTTACAATTTTCGTCGCACTAACTCGTGTCGGACGAGGCTTTTTCGGACGTGCCGGAGTCGTTCTGGAGTTATTTCGCCCGACACATATCTCTTGTTTTATATCGGGGAATTTCTTACAATCAAGCTGCGAAGGCCACACATACCCAAATCGTGACATGACATGATGACAATCGTTGCGAGCGGTTTCGCAGAGCGATTTACAGGGCTTGATAAGTTTACCCAAAGCATTGCACACGGGCGCGTAATAGGTACATATAAAATACTTCAAATCGGGTGAACATGTTACCCTGAAAAGTGGTTTGAAATGATTAACCAGCGAATCAGCCTGTCCTTGTGTTCGATGGTTTTCAAAATTCGGAAATAAAGTTCGGTTATAATTCAATCCTTTACAAGCTTCGATTGTAAGAGTCTGACAACGACGTTGTGAAGCCACTATCGGCAGAAATACGACGAGTATAAGCAAACGAGCACCCAACACAAGCGACGAAACCCTACGGTCAAACGCCATAGCTCACAAGTTGTATACTGAAGCGAAATATAAGCCACTGTGTGTAATAATCTAGTCTGTCATCAAAGGGCAAAGCAGCCAATGTAAATGTTTCGCCCCCGTTGGTGGTAGTGTTGTTATGAAGTACCGCATAAATAATCAAGCACTGTTAGTTACAATGCAATGCCGCCTCATCCTGATTGGCTGATGCGTGGGTCGCGATGAATACTTATCGATTATTAGTTGAATATTTCACTCTAAATGTATTTTTTTGACCTTAATTGACAAAGCGACGCTTTATACTCGCAAGACTATGAATATGGCACATGCCCGACTATTTGCTTTCAAATTGCTTTAAAACAAACCATGAACACGAAATGTTTTCCACTGTTTGTTCAAAGAATATATTCGTGACAGCCTAGAAATTCGCTGTAATTAAAGACACGAAAATACAAAATTCACATTTTAATATAAATTGCGTGCTTCTCATGAGGGCACTTACATTTGAGTTTTGAAGCTCAGTATTAAGGGCTCAGTATAAGTGCATACTTTATGAATTGAATATCAGTTATCATTTTATAAGTTGTCGTGGTTTGTCTCTAAACCGCGCGCGCGAAAAAAAAACACTCAAAAAAACTTCGTCGAAATGTTTTTCAATAATCCTTTTTTAGATATACAATTCAGACACAAAACACGACAGCTTATTGTAATGTAGAATACTAGCTACACTCAGTCTCATGTTTGGGTATTATTTATATTATTTATACCGATATATATACTGTCGATAAGTCTAGCTACTAAAAACAATCGATATTCGATCTTTTTTCAACTTGTGTTTAAAATTACTTCTTATTTATCGTGTCATATACATATTGTCATATAGACTTTTGCACCTCGATTTTCTGAAACCGTAGACAGTAAAAAATAATTATTCTTATTAAAAATATCCATAATAGGTAAACACAGTAATTAATGATCTTTCATGCACGCTTCGAGGCTCGCTTCACAGTTTAATATTGAGAAAATACTCTTCAAATAAACTCCAAATCTCACTAACCCAATTATTCAAACATGCAACCCCTATATAACGTACTCTTTAATTAAGTGCCTACCTATATAAATAGCTATGCATCAAAGAGTCTTTGCCGTCCCAATAAAAGGATTAAAAGCTTCAATTTCCTTGACATGCATGACCAAACTAGAAAGCTAGAAAGAAAGGTTGCCATGGTTTGTGCCTGAACTACCTAAGATTAAAAAAACCTCGACGCATTTTGAGAAAAGCCGCGGCAACAATTCAAAAAACACGACCTCCCGGCTTACGAACTGAAGAAGACTCGAAGACTCTTGGCTCAAAAGTTTGAAGTGTTTGTCAAGATGTTTCCGTCCTTTTATAGTGCTGTTCATGTAGTTCAAACCCCAACCACGACAGCTTAATTTAATGACACTGCCTATACACTAGACCCCACTGAGTCAGCTATCTTTTCCAAGAAGTTCAGACGCAAACTCATGCCAGCTTATTGTAGAATACTATGAATATATGAATATTATCCTATATACACTGTCACTGGACTGCCACGTTTGAGATATCTTTCCAAGACGGTTCAGACACAAACTACGACATGATGCCGGTTTAAATATTGAAGCAATAATGATAATGACTATCATCTCAGAAATTATGATACAGATCTCTCACTTCCAAAACCTAAGAAAGAATTTCTTAAAAGAAGCTTTAGGTATAGTGGAGCTGTACTGTGGAATAGTCTTTCTGCTGAGGCTAAGTCTGCTTATTCGATTTATTGTTTCAAAAGACTTATTTGAATCTTGTTTTTAATTGTTATTCCATTTGTAACTACACATTATGTTCTGGGTAATATTCTTTTTGGGTCCGTGTGGGTTAATTAGTTTTTTCTTCATTTTTATATACTTGTAAATAGCTAAATAGACGCCCCTCATGAAAACCAGCCGTATAGCTGATGAGGATAGCGTCTCTAAACTAATTAAATACATACAACTAGGTTACCCACAGGGCAGTAATGCTGCCTTTGACAGCAAAAGACAAACTACAGGGTGTTGAACGAGTCCTTCAGAAACATCCTATTATTGTTATCCTAGCCTGCGTAGCGGCTCTCAGAGAAAGTAGACTTTCTCTGATAGCCGCTACGCAGGCTATTGTTATCCTTGTTAACCCATTTATTGACAGCACGGCCCTACCACTGACTGAGTATTAAAAATCGTCTGGCTTTGGACAGGGTAAATACTAAAGTCATTACTGTGATGATGGATTAACAAGAGCCATTGGCAGATAGGTTTGTTAACCCATTTACTGGCAGTACCCTGTACCACCGACGAGTAAAATTTTCTTTCCGTCCGTCATTCATCCGTCCGTCCGTATCCGCGTTTTATCCTAACTCGTTTTTAAAACACAAAAGTGCGGTTCGTCATGATCAACGTTTTCAAAAGCGACCAATTAGACCAGGGGTTAAAGGGCAATGACAATGACATGCAGGTGACATTTAACATTGCATCTCACTAATTAAAATTTGCGTGTTTATTAATAATGTTTATCAAAGAAAGCAAAAATATATACAAGACAATCTCACATGTGAAATTTTTTCACTTACGTACTGCCTTGTGATGCAGTACAAGTATAAACACCAAATGACAAAGCATTTGTAAATCCTAAAACATAATTAAATCATACGGCACATTCAAGATTTTAATATCGTATTTCAGCCGCGCGTTTATACTGCTTGGCGCATTCGCTGCGTTATATTTATTATTTATTTATATACACAGAAAAGCATGTCATTGTCTTTGCGGACCATAGGCAAAAAGCATTCGTCAACCACATACCAAATTTAAGCAATCGTTAAATCATATACATGTCATGGAAAGAATATGAAAATAATGTTGAATGAAAGCTAGCATCGCGTATAATGTTAAAAGCACCGCACTCGAACCACTGCGTAAATTGCAAAAGCACCGCGTGTATAAATGGTGAAAGCACCGCGTATAATGCTGGAACCACAGCGTATAATGCGGGAACCACCGCGTATAATGGCGAAAGCACCGTGTATAATGCCGAAAGCACCGCCGTATAATGCTAAAAGCACCCAACAAAATGCCGTTTGATCACTTTAAGCCAGCTATGGCTTTCCATAAAAGAAGACCAAAGATGAAAGATGATCACATTGCCTGTTTGCCTTATGCTTGACCGCGCTGCACCACGGTTAAAATTCACTGGTACCGTCATGCAATGCGCCAAATAGAAAATTTTGATATCGACCCACAAAACAAAATTAGGATCTGCTGCCTTGCTCGCTCGCTTCAGGCTCGCTCGCTGCGGCAGCAAATACACCTACACGGCTAAACCCCCATGTTTTTCAGGTAGTTCAGAGAGAAGTCATATATTATCCTATATACACTAGACATAAATTATCCTATATACACTAGACTCCAGTCCTACGTTTGAGATATCTTTTCCAAGAAGTTCAGACACAAACTATACGACATGATGTTTAATGAGCCACTACCTACACTAGACCCCTGTGTTTTTCAGGCAGTTCTCCCACGTTTGAGATATCTTTTTCAGGTAGTTCAAGCACAAACCATGGCAGCTTACCGTACTGGTCTACTCACTAACCGTGGTCTACTGGATCACTGTCCAAGCATTGTGTCAGATTGTTCTGATCAACCTATTGACACGTAAACTTGATGGTCTTGATGTTCAAACAATTATGAATATGCACCAATGCAATCCATCAATGAAATATGATATGATCATGCGAGGAAGAAGGGGGGAGGGGGTTAAGCACAACAAATTTCCATGATACATCTAGACTCTTCACTGAGAACTGCAAAGTTTAATATCTTTTAGTTTTGTTGTTGCCGCTCCAACTATATATATTTTTCGTATTGGCGTTTCAGACATATTGCTGTTGTGCTTATTTCTATATTCTCGTACGGTGAAGAGGGTCATGGCGCTTCGTTGGCGGTTGGCAAGCATATGTATATATCAACCAACTACATCACCGGGAAAGTTTTAGGAAAGTAAGAAATATTTATTTCCCTATTTGGCAGTGCTTCTGGTGTTTTGGTATATAATATTTATACCTTATATGCAATAAACTCAAACATTTACATCCAGTAAGACCCGTTTACACTTGCAATCGTTTCTGCAATTTCTAGTGCAATTTTCCGGTGGATGTGAATAAGTGGATGAGTTGTGAATGTTCACATGATCAGTTTTCACATGTGCGGCTCAGAACATTCGTAACCAATTTACTTGTTCACATGCATTAGTCCAGCGGAAAAGTAAAAAATCATGCACTTTGTGAAGAAAGCACCCAATTCACAGGAAGTTGAGACTTTAACATGATAATGAATCTTAGATATGGAGGGTATCACCAAAATTGATGCTGACGGCTTAAAATTTAAGATTTCCTATATTCTCTTATTAAACCCTATTACTGTTTAAAATTGTGAATTTGCAGGTTCACTGTATAGCAAGAATGACTTGCATGATTAGAAAGCTTACAAAAAACTACATATAAGACTTTTAAACGGCTGATTGATTTTCCAAGCGGTTTTCCAGTTATCGCTATTTAAAAATGTGATAAATAGGCAAAAATCCCGCCAAAGTCCTGAACACTAGCCCTAAAACATATTTTCATTTTTCAACCGCTCATAACTCCAGAGGAGCTGGAAAATCAAAGTAATTGCTTAAATGTCTTATATGCAGTTTTTTTGTAAGCTTTCTAATGACGCATGTCATTTTTGCTATATGTGAACCTGCAATTTCACAATTTTTAATTGTATAAGAGATTATTAAGAGAATATAAGAAATCCTAAATTAAGTTAAGCCGTCAGCATCAATTTTGGTGATGCCTCCATATCTAAGATTCATTATCATATTAAAGCCTACACTTCCTGTGAATTTGGTGCTTTCTTCACAAAGTGCATGATTTTCTCAAATATATGTGCATATCCGCTGGACTACATCAGTAGAAGTAGGGACGCCG